CCACGTTTCCCGAAAATTTTTATAAAAAGATCGTGTCGCAAATTCGATTTCATATTGAATTAAGATTCTATACGAATTTCGTTCGAACGTTTCGTTCAAAGTTTTTCCACTTCGAAATGAATGTTCAAAGCATCGAGAGACTCTAAAAAAGCAAAGAGTTTACGAAAGCACTCGCGGGGAAAAAAGGTAGCCTGGCAATTTGACAAGGCAAGCCTTTTTCAATTCCTTCGCGAAGAAAACACTTGGAATTTCGTTGCTTCACAAATCACCGATTCACGTGTGTTTTGCACGCATTTTTCTTGGCGAGGGAAAAAACAAAAGGAGAACGCGTGACGAACGATAATCTGCGATCTAGTTTCACAATAGCGTAATCGACGTATTTCTACGAAATCTTGAAAAAAAAAAATGGTGTCTCGAAAGTCGGCCACTGTTCGACCAATCAAATAGGAAGAAAATGAACCAAGAATTATAATTATAATAATTCAGTTATAACCAAAGAATTAGTCATACTAAATCACACTTTTACACTGTCGAATATTTCAAATGACGAGGATAGCGAGTTGGAGCCAATTGAAAAGAAAAGATTGACTGCTTTGGAGAACAGTGTCGACAGCAACAACGAATAAAAAGATTTTCTTTTTTCTGAGCTCTCATTACTTTTTTTTTTTGAGGGGGGAAATATGTGAAATAAATATTTTTATAACTTACACTGGTTTTTCTCTTACGTACTTTTTTCTTTCATACTAGCAGATTCCATTTACGCGATTTTCGGAAAAAGAACCTCATGGAATGCTAGGAACCAATGTAGCATTTTTCCAGTAAATTCGATTCCATTGACAGTTGTTTCAGAAATCGACGATTAAACTGTCCGAATGTATTCTACTCGTTGTTAAAAAAAATTCATGTGATTCTGACGTATAGCCTTCACGGTTGACATTTCATTTACCTAAAAATTTAACAAGAAAGTGGCCATTTTGAAGAGAAAAGTAATAACGTACAAGAGGCTGTTTATTCATAATTCTTACAGAAAGTCATAAGAGAAATATGTATAAAACAGCCGTTTCAACTAGTTTCATGGTTTTACTGGTGAGAAGGTGGTGAAATTTGATTTATACACATACAGGGTAAAGCACATACACTTGTCCACCCCGAATAACTTTGTGCAAAAAAGTGTTTTTTATATAGAAATTGCACGGTATCGAAGGGAACGTACGATGCTGAAACGGTTTTCTTTAAATAACCTGTTTGTTTACGAGATATCAACGCGGCCTTGAATTTTTTAAATAGAACGTGCACCTTTTTGCACCGAGATTTAGGAAAACAGTGAATTTTCTAGGAGGAAATTATAAAATATGAGAAAAAAATAATAACTTATATAAAATTATGGATTATTTGTATTTTCTATGAATTACACGATTACTAGAGAAAAAAATCAAAATCAAAGTATGGAATAGTATAAAGGTGGACAATTTCTGTCCTTAATTAAGAAATTGCACAGGTGTACACGGGTGTACAGACGTCAAGGGGCATAATTTTGAGCACGTGCTGTAACTAAAGTAAATAGTAAAACCATGAGCAACGTTTTTGTAAATATTTGGCTTATCATTAGGTTTAGGACAAATAAAGCTTAATACATCCTCATAGAAAATTTGCTGCTCTTTTAAATTTTCATACAAAACCAATTCCACATAAAAAATTCAACGTCACCCTGATTTTTCGTAAACAAATAGGTTATGTAAAAAAAAAAACACGGTGCAACACATACTTCAGGGTGAAAAAGTTATGCGATTCACTCTGTATATCTACAACTTATTATATCGAGTAAGAAAACAATAAGAGAACTTTTAACATTAAAGTTGACAAATGAGAAGAGTAAAATTCGTCTTGTTGTTACTCATGCATTAAATATATACTCTAATTTATATTTAATATTACATTTATATGTTCGAATTTATAACGTTTAATGATAATTTGAAAAAAAAACATTTCGACAAAAAATGTGATCGATTCAGCGTTATGCAAGAAATGATTTACTTAAGCAGGAAGTTTCATGGAACTTAATTGAAGGTAAACCATGAATTTTTGTTGCAATCAATTGGTAAATGAATTTTACACTGAATTTAATCATCAACGCACTGTGATAATATTGAAGTGCAATTTATTTTGTCCGGCGAATCAATGTTTGTATATTTAATCAAGTGATTTAATGAAAAACTTTTGCTTCCAAACTTGAAGATTTTTAAATAAAATATAATTTAAATGAAGGCATTGAGATTGTACTAAGATACTTTTAACGATGAATATGATTGTTTTATTAATTAATTGGTACATACGAGTATATAGAATTTTTAATAAAATGTTTGATGCTGTACTACTATTGAACTATGGATTAATTTTATATCGAACAGATTGCAGACACAATTTTCTAGTATTTTCCAGTTACAAAGTCAACACTTGAAACTCCCTTATTACGTATTTACTAAAGCCACAGTTTTCGTTATCTTATCGAAGCAATTTATTGATGTATCATTTTATATTTAATTACGCTTAACGTATACTCCATTTCGGAAACAATTATTTTTATCACGAGATATTCTAAAAGTGCAAAGTTCTTCCGAATAGAATGTAAATCGTTCTTTTTTGTATTAATAGTAAATGTTACGTTTCTAACAGAAAGCAAGAAAATAGTTGTACAAAGACTTTTCGACTGAATCTGCCTCGAAATTATTCGACTAAATGTATATTCAAACATAAACAGAGAGACTCACGTAATTAATTTCACCATTGGAACCCTTCGGTTCATTTTCACGATCCATTCTTCCCGGTAAATTTATCCCCGGCCGCCCTTTTCCGCCGATTTCTTCAATTGACGAAAATCAACCGAGCATCCAACGCGGAACAATGAATCGAATAAACAATAATGATCCGCGTGGGTGTACTGAGTTAGCTGGTAACACGTGTTCTTTCATATATCATCGAGAGGTGTCAACAAGGAGTGTATCGCTTCCAGGAGGGGAGAAATTACACACTTTCCCTCTCTCTCATCCCTTGCCCGTTTCCTTTTTCCTTCTTCTTTTGCTCCTTTTGTATTTCCCTGTTGCAGCGCGAACGCGACCCTGAACAAAGGAAAAACGGACCTGGATGGAAAAACTCGAGGACGAGCGACAGTGAAATTTCACGTTTCGTGATTCAGTTGAACGATGTCGGCGACCTTTTCGATCATTTTTGCAACAACCTACCGAGCGATTTTAATGTTTTTCTTAGAGCTACATTTTCTTTTCCCTCCCCCCTGGTACCGTGAAATATTCATATACCAGGACTATTATAGTCGTTTCTGCTGTTATTTGCTCTCGTTGACTTTTGTAATTGAAACTTCATTTTAACGAGCATTCTGAGAACTTATTTTCACGTGCACCGTTGATTTGCTGGAACAGTGACACAACTAACAAGAGTCAATTTTTTTTTAACAGATTTGGTTCGAAGTTTCTTTCTCATTTTTTTTTTTCTTTTACAGTTTAGTTCATAGTCTTTGGGGTTTGATCTCGATTGCGAGAATAGACCATGAGTGAAATATTTGAATG